CCCCCACTGATAGTAATAGGAAAATATCGAAAATATTAACATATAGTATAATCTATCACTATCAGCTATTACAATTTTGATGCATGGTGTGAAATAACGTAAATACGTTTTTCAAATTGTTCATAGCGTCGGATATCATGATTTCATATAAAATCAAGAAGAATGGCAGCACGTGTTACCGCGATAAGTCACAGCAATAAAGACGCGAAGACTACGAAAATTAATTGACAAATATTAGCATTATCGACAAAATTCAAATGCGGTAATAATAACTGAAAATTATTTCGTTATTAACTCAGAATAATATACCCGTTTGAATGGAATTGCATATATTTGTATTGTATATATTCACAAATTTAACAAACATCATTTTAACAGTCCAACCTGAGGTCCGGTCCCAGCGAAGATGCATGGCGCAAACTAGCTTTCATGGCCAAGTGCATTCCCAGGTGAGTCGTGTAGTTAATAACATTACGCATTAATAGCAAGTTCTGTGCAGTATGGAAAAATATTTTCGAATGGAATTTTCATATTAGTTACGGAAAAAAGAAGTTCTAGTTCAAGTATGGTATGCGATTGTCAAGTTTACTTTTTGGGCGCACGAGCCAGCGATTGCATTAAACATCTTATTATTGCGACGAGAAAGTAATCCAAAAAATTTTTTTTTTATATTAAAACCCATCCTACGCGGTAAGGAAAAGTTATGTCAGTCTTATTTCAAAACCATCATAGTGTTTTATTTGATTAGCTTTGTATTGAAAAAAATTGATTTAGTCTTAGGTCGCAGAATCACATAGAATATCCATATTTAATTTTGTCAATACATTCTTTCGTTATATACGGATCTATTCTTGCGATTGTAAAGGAGATAAAATAGCTGGCAAACCACGATTAGAATCATTATAAAGTACCGTATTTTATAAACCATAAGGCACATTTTATATCCAACCCTTTCGAATCGATTGTTATTTTGATAAAGCTAACGTGTGACCCCGGTAGCGCATTTTGCCTTTCCTTCAATCAAAACCAATGCCGATACTGGCCAAGTCTGACATCCCGATGAACATAATAAAAAAAAATCTAATCAATTAACCTGGTGTCTTTTGGTCGGTAATATGCAAAATGCATGATTAAAAGTTTGAAAAATATATATTATATATTGAAAAAAAGTTTGGATAGAAATTGTTAAACTAGTGAAGAAGTCCTCAATATCAACTTCGTATTTCAGGACCAGGATCGCGACCAATACCAGAGCCAGGACCGTCTGGACGAAAGCCAAATCCTGAGCCCGCTCGACCACGACAAAGACCTGTACCTCCCCGTTTCAGTCCACGTCCAGGACCTCTTTGACCAAGGCCAATTCGAGGAATTTCTCGATCCCGACTATGATGAGGTCCAGAACTTTCTGGATCAAAGCCAGGACCTCTTCGATCAAGGCCAAGTGGAGGAATTCCCCGATACTGACCATGATCAGGTCCAGAACGTTCTGGATCAAAGCCAAGTCTAAGACCTCCCAGAACAATTCCCAAATCTAGATCAAATCCAGGACCTCTCCGACCAAGTTCATGTCCAGGACCATTTCAACCAAGGCCAAATCCAGGACCATCCCGATAAAGGCCAAGTCACGGAACTCCCCGACCATGAACTGGTTCTGAACCAGGACCACAGCGATTATGACCTGGTCCAGCACTTGGACCATCGCACTATAGCCTGGGCCAGAATCTGCCCGGACAACCCATTAGTTTCGTTTGAGATTCTTATTCAGCTTATAGTTTGCCAGACTCGCAAGTATAATCCGATATCATCTTGGATATGAATAGTTTCAAGCTCAAGATAACGAACCTTCAGTAACCCCACAATGTAGAGTGGTAAATTAGTTATGTTATTTCCTAGTCAAGCACATGTACACGCATTGACACTCAATCACTTTAACATACACACTTTTCAACATACCGGACTTTTTAGATGTTGAAAGTTATGCGTAATGGACTAATGAAATGGCAATATGGAAGCTTGTTGCTCATTTAGAAGCAAATATATTTATAACGCTTTCCGGACTACATAGAATGTTAAAAAAAAGTTAATTCAGAAATAAGTAGCAAGAAACAGAATATAGACGATACCATTATTCATATAGTACCAAATTTACATCTAAAAAACAACTCATATTTATGATGAAAACGATGCTGAATTTTCAATCTGATCAAAAAATTTATTCACAGTAATTTTTTTCAATAGTTTTTAAATGACTTTTATGTTTTTGTTTCAGTAACCATTATTATCATGCCATTATTTCATTAAATTATTAATTGGTTTCCGCTATAAATGCTTCTCATTATGCTTTGAAAAAGCAGATTGTAATGGATGATACGTTAAACATGTGATACCTTTGTTTATCACACGCATTTGTTTTGACACGGCACTCTATTATTTTTACAGTCTCGTCCTGAATACAAAGTCACCGGTCTTTACGTAATGCACGTCGTTGTATGCAAAGCATGGCGTCAAATAGGACAGAATAAAGATCCTTTCATTTCAACAATGAGCAAAAATATTTTTGCCACTTTTGAAAGTTTATTTCAATGGGTAAGGTGGGATTATTGACTATGCATATTTTGCAACTGGTTGTGCCACAAGGCATGACTATGGTGTCAGAGATGTATTTTCAATCTTCGATGGACCAAACTTCAGAATCGCGGAGTCGAAAATCAATCTATTCTGTGGTATCTCTTTATTGTTTGTGAGAAAATCGTATTTTCAAACTCTTAAAACCTGCATTTGTTTATTGGTTTAAAAAAGTCTATACAATTGCATACAGAAGAAACTACAGTAACAATAATAAATCTACCAATCTTAAAAATCTGTTGTAAGGATTACATGTGTAAAAGCTTTTGCGGACAATTTTTGATTTGAATCCCAAACCTATTTGTTCAATAGTATTTCATTAGATAGAAATTGTACTTTCGATATTTTATTACCGCTAACAACTAATGATTAATGAACCAATCAATCAATTCCAAAATCTTGGTACGACAAGACGAATAAGTCGCTATAGCTATAGTCGTAATTATTTATTTTTCTATTCTGCTGACATTCCAATTATTTGTCGTCTATATGCATATATTTTTATCATCACTCTTTTATTTATTCATTTTAGCTGCAAATTCTTAAAGTTCTGAAGCTTTGGAAGTAGTTTTTCCCTCCGAGATAATGCAACAACTAAGCTTAATAGGGGGCAACTCTATCTCTTTCGACCCAGCATCGATTATGCCTCCTGAGCATGAGGGTTTACCGGAAACTTATCCTCAACTTTCTGTCATGAATGACGTAAATCTTTAACTTTTTTGTTAATTCAGCACACATAGTATCTTGTGAAAATGGTGGGGTTCTAATAGACTTTGTTATAAAAAAAAAACGTATGAGCGCGCATTGGTGCATAAACTGGCAAAAATAGAAACGAAGAAATGCAATTATTCTGCCAAAAAAAAAATGTTACAGATTTCCCAACATTACTACAAATATTAACTAGTAGGAATGATCTTTTGGTGCGGTGTTATTCAACCGGGTATACTCTATACTCAAGTGTATACCAAGTCAGGTCCCGGGTATACATATAACAATTGGTATACGATGGAACACTGGAGCTATAGCCTGATTTAAATAATCAAATTCCCGGCCCGTTTTGTGTTTTTGAACGCGCACAGGAGCCGTTCAACATTGGGACTCACTAATTCATAAAGTGTTTATTTATCCACGGACACAGCTTTTGCGAGATAAATTACATGAGCGAGTAGAAACTATAATATGCAAAAAAATAATTTTCGCGGAGAGATACGAAGAAAATGTCCGCGGCTACGTTATTTATGAGCACAACCTATAGTCATACAGCAACGTGATTTTTGACGTAGTTTGTTAATTTAGCACACATATTATCTTGTGACCAGAATAAGACTTCTGTCATGACTTCACAAAACAACTTTTTTCCAGGTTATATTAATAAATAACCTTAGTTATTTGCGAGGTATATATATACGGAGAAAATAAAAATTGAAAAATATTTAACACATAGTAAAACATTCAAGATCACTATTTTAGTATATTTGATTGGGATCTGTCGTGCACCTTCGACACTAAGTTACAAATTTAAACCTATCTAGTTAGGAACAAATTGAAAAGTTATTATTTTCTTGCGCAATCTATAGGGGTTGTGCAAAAGATCTCTAGATTGAACCTAAATATGCAAATAAGACTCAAGAAAATTAAAATATTTCGATTACATACTTGCTCTGCTGGCCAGATTTCATAGGCTTTCATCTTGCTCAGTGATGAATACCAGACAATCACCAGGCATTTCTTTTGATGAAATGATGTACTGTATTGCCAAGTTTCAATCAGTGTTTCAGAAAGCTGAAAATAAATGTATTTTTAGTTAATTCTCAAATTATCAGTGACGTATCTAGGTAATGACAGCTATAGCTACTACCATTGACGACTTTGGTTTCCGGCGCAAAAAGAGTGTAAAGTTCTAATCGTAACTTGTTACTATAAAATATTTCTGCCTAATCACGAATTCCAAGTTAAAGAGTTAAACGTGGAAGTTTACATAACTGTAGTGGAATATAGTGATTTTTACTTAAGTTAAAAGCTGGGTAAAAAAAAATGGGTTCGTCAAATTATTTCAGAGGACCTTCATCGAACCCCCGGTACAGCATCCTCGAACTCTGGGATACAATCGGACCCAAGTTAAGAAACACCGATATAGACAGTGCTGTTGTACTAGTAACACCTTATTCACTGGTTATTGGTCCAGTTAATGAATTGTTCAGAATAATTGTGTCCACCTTTTTAACGCCAAATTACAGTTTTGTTGGGCAAAATAGTTAAATACATGGCGCGATTCTACGAAATGAAAATGGTCTGTTTTTAATAGACTTTGCCATTGAAAACGATGGGCGCATTGGTGCTTAAACTGGCAAATGGGGTAACGAAGAAACGCAATCTTTCTGCTATAAGCTTATAATTAATATACAAAAAAAAAGTTTTTGCCGAATTCCACAAAATTACAATTATTGTAGAAGCTTGACGGGGTGTGACCTTATGCACCCTGCTTGCTACACAAAGACGAAGGGCGCTGAACCGTGCGCCAATATTTCCCAGTCTAAACGCTCTAGTCTATCCCAATACAGCAATATTTGTCTATGTTCGGTCCAGACAATCCTCTCCAAATTATCCCGTCTTATAACTGAGATAAGCAAGCCTGAAGTCCACAAGCCCACAATACGCAACTTCAAACACAGGAGAATTGTAATGCGACGTGAAATTATCAAGCACTTGCTCAGCACAAATATACAATCGAGATGTCAGATGGAGCCAAATAGATTACGGAAACAAATGACAAATACAGATAGATTGAGTTGAGATAGAGAGAGAGGTTTTCTAAAGAAAACAAAATACACTATAAATACTATTATTTGCCGCATAAATAACCAACATGCAGTCAAATTATATCGCTTACCGACTGTTTTTAGCCAAGGTCAACAATATATCGAATCTTTTATGTAACTGCAGAACACTGAAATAAACATGAACAAATAAGCACTACAGTAACAGTACTTAATCCTACAGCATTAATTGTGGCAATAAATATAATACCAACAGTATTTTATCCAAATAAGACTACTACATAACATGCCAATGCAATGAAATACAGAAAACTCACCAAGAATATTTCACAAAACAATCACAACGCAGGACAGATTCACAAATTGCAGTTCAATAATCCAGAGTTCAATGCAGCAAATTTTAAACTATTAGCAAGTTAAATAAGCATGTAACAAAGAAAACCATATTTAGACCACTTATAATTAATATGATACAGCTTTTCCTAATGCTAAATAGCCATGGAAGTAACGCATTGCAACAGCAAACTAGCTGTGTACATTTACAATTTCATTCCAAACGCGAGGCGATACAATAACGATGTAAACACGCAAATTGCAGTAGACAAAAACCTTCTTGGCTCGGTCTACAGATAATAAAGAAACACATCAAATGCGAGTAATGAAATGAGACGTTTGCGACGTTGACAAACGAAAAGGTGCAATACGTGTCAGCAATGAAGAAATTAACACTAATGGCGCTGGAGATCTTGATCTTTTAGTGCGTTGATATTCAGCCGGGTATACCATAATAACTAAGTGTATGCCAAGTCATATCTCGGCTATACGAACAACAATTGGTAAACAGCTATAGACGGATTCGAATAAATGTCACGGCCCGTTTTTAGCTATGTTTTAAAAAAAACAAATAAGTAATTTTCTAGTTAGGGTGAAGAACAATTTGTAAATTTGTATTTACAGCGCAATCTGCAATTTTAACCCAACTCTGACACAATAATTACAACTTTATTATTCTCAACGTTAGCGGGGGTGTTTGGTTTTTACCGAAGGAGATGGTAAACAAAAGATACTTAAATTGATCGTAAATATGCAAATGAAGACTCAAAGGTTACATACTTGCTCTGCTGGCTAGACTTGATAAGATTTCATCTTGTTCAGTAATGAATACCAGACAAATGACAACGACAAATTTATCTTGTATAAATGAGGTTGTCAACTTTCAAGCAGTGTTTTAAAAAGCCGAAAATAAATGTATTTTTTCTTTTTCACGAAATATCATAGGCGTGTCTAAGATATTACAGCTATGGCTCCTGCACTAGGCGCCGAAAAGCTGCACCAAACGCTCGGGGTCCAATCGAACCCAGGTTAAGAAACGTCTTCATACGCAGCGCCGTACTCATTACAGCATATTCACTGGTTATTTCTCTGGTTTGAGGGTCGCAACCTTTTGTCGCTCACGGGCCAAAATAAAGGCTGGAAGTATCGGCGGCCGGACGAAGAAGCAGTCAGCAGGAGAGTAAGTGAAGGGGGGTTAGCAGCAGACCGTCGAGTCTGACAGATGGGAACAGATAAAAGAGACGTGGGTGAAAAAGAGTCAGTCGGAGAGCAGGGCTGCAGGGAAGGAAGGTTCAGCAGGCGAAAAGCCCCTTGAGAATGGGAGCAAAAGGCAAGAGACTAGCAGCAGACCGCTGAGTTGTATAGACCCAGCCGACAGGGTAGATAGACAAAGCTGCATTCAGGAGGTTGGGACCGCAGAGAAAAAAAGCACGAGTGATGGTGAAACAGCAGAGGAGCAACCAAGAAATTGCAGAGAGGCAACCTTCTTCCTTGGGCGTGAAGGAAGCAAAAATAACCCCTTTAAACATGACAGACAGATTCACTATCCGGAAAAATATCATCAGTTCCGCAAAAATATATGTGATTACTTTTCCTATTCTACTGCTACATTACCGGTGATAGAGATTGGACATTGGGTTTATATATTTAGTAACATTCAAAGAAATACACGACATACTGGTTTCATGTTTTAGGCTACTTCTACTACAACTTACGATACCTAATGCAGTTCATATCTGAGAACAGTCAGTCAGTAGTTTATTTTATCACATACCAAAAGTACACAATAGACAAAAATAACTACGAATCACATATAAAACAATACTTTCAGTGTGAAGGGAGGCGCGATAAACCAGAAGAGGTTATCGAGCAGCGTCACCCTGGGGGAGTGAGTCTAAAAAATAAATCATAGTGAGAAAAAAGTCAAACAGGATACTAGCAAAAGTCGTGAATAATAAATAAAATAATAAAGTCGAAGACGGCCTTTCTACACATTTAAGTGACCGATATCACGGTGTCACTCTAGTTAATATGAGAATGCGACTCCCGACACCACTGGTCGAGGTAGCCATGGTAACAGCAGTTGGTTATTGAATAACAAACAGAAAGATAAAGTCGAGTTTGTTATTCCAATCGATGCGGAAATAGTGTTATATTTTGACGCCGTACCGAAGTACGACATAGGAGGGTAGAGACCGCCGGAAAGTATAAGTGAATTCAGTAGCACTCAGAATTTGAGTGATTTTTAAATATAAAATCGTAGGTCTCTACCGAAGGTGGAGACAGATGTAAACATGGAAATGTGACAAAAATGGGCAAAAAAGCAGTAAAAGGTAAGCATTTTTCTGGTAAATGCTAAGCTATTAATCATAGGATAGATCCAGTACAAAAGCGCATGAGACAACAAAATGCACCAGAAATATACAAATAGGATGATGAGAACCACTATAGTACCGGTAAGGTATCATGCTATATTAGTTAAATAAAGCTGCACTTAATAAATACCAATAATTGATAATAATATCTTAATAAATAACAATAATACGAGTTAACGCTTGTAGTATTAAGAGATAGTTGTTTATTAAGCGTTAACTCAAAGATAGGCACTTGTGTGTGACTGTATGACCACGGAAATCTGAGTTAGATTGGAGGTAAGAAAACTGGCGATAAATAAAGCAGTTCAAAAATTCTATAAGATTGCGCACATCAACATATATAGAGTATAACAAGAATAGGGATGAATTATGATGATTCCACAGTAACATTGCAATATATAAAATACAACAAGCATTTAACAGCAAATAAACAGGTCTCTTCATTACAGGCAGGCTGTGGATCGAGTTGAATATGACCTTGATGGACACAAAGCAAGGATAAAATATGAAACAGCGACTTGGAAAATTCAGGTGGGTTGGTAAGAGGAAATCAGGAATTTTTTATAATTAAATTTGAAAGTCATGCAAGATGACTCACGTAGGTCTTGGGGTAGACTGTTTCAAATTGAAACACCTTGATATTTCAAAGAATTTTGGGATTTGCTTGGTGAGAAGCGAGGTACAAAAAAATTACTCTTGGTTGAGGAGCGGGTGTTATATTTATGCACTGAAGTTAGGGTGAGAAAATACTGGTCGAAAGCCGCTGGCAATTGATTGTTTTGGAATTGGTTCATAATCTTAGAAATTTCTAGTTTGTAGATGTCATGTAATTTTAGTACTACTAGTACTATGCTTATAATATAGATTTTTTAAATTGGAACGTAAAGGTGCCCAAGAAAGGATTCTAATGGCCCTATTTTGTAAGACTTCCAATTTACGCATGTTTACTTTAGCTGTAGAACCCCATGCCGCTATGGCATACTGAATGTGGGCCTGAAAAAGTGCGAAGTAAATGGTTCTTAGTGTGGTATCCTGTAAGTAATATCTAAGCTTACCCAGGATCCCTACCGTTCTTGATGGTTTTCTATGCAAATCAGCAGTGTGGGTGTTCCACTTTAATTGGTGGTCGATATTGAGTCCTAGATATTTATAAGACTGGACTACTTCTAAATTTCTGCCATTGATTCCAATTGCGAGGTTGGGGTATCTAGTGTGAGATTTTGAACTGAACAGCATGACCTTTGACTTATCTATATTCACTGTTAGCTTGTTGCATAACATCCATTCATAAATTTTATTTATTTCAGTGTTCATATTTAGCTGAAGTGTAGTCGGATCCTTCGCGCTGGTGAGCAAGCATGCATCATCTGCAAATAGTTTACTCAAAAGATTCGAGCTGTTGGAAAGGTCGTTTATGAAACATAAGAACGCTAATGGGCCAACTACCGATCCCTGAACAATTCCGCAGTGAATGGGTAACATTGGGGATCTATGGGGACCTATTTCAACAAATTGATACCGGCCTGTCAGGTAATCGGATAACAGTTTTCCTGCATTACCCCTAAAACCGTAATGTCTTAACTTGTGAATGAGAATAGAGTGGTCTACAGTATCGAAAGCCTTTTTTAGATCTAGGAAGGCACAAAAAAAAATACTCGCCTTTGTCTATTTTATCATATATAAATGATGTCAGATCAAGGATAGCATGACTGGTGGAGTGTTTGGTCTGGAATCCAAATTGACATTTGATTATCAAACTGAATTTAGTACAATAGCTCATCATTCTGGTATACAACAACTTTTCCATTATGATGCTAATTGAAGATAAAATAGAGATTGGTCTATAATTTGAAGGGTTGTTTTTTTTCCCGCATTTAAAAATTGGTATAACTCTAGCAAGTTTTAATGAAGAAGGAAATATACCTAAATTGAATGACGAATTGAAGAAATTACTCAAAGCTGGTGATATGATATCAGCAACTAATTTCAAAAAATAAGAGGAAATACCATCCGGTCCAACCGCTTTACCCTTTTTCAGGTCCCTGATTACACAGAGAACTTCTAAAGGTGATGTTGACTCAAGAAAAAAAGAGTTCTGTAAAGGGACACCCAGGAATTCAGCATTTGATTTGGTACTATATGGGATTTCATCTGCGAGTTTTTTCCCTATAGAAGAGAAGAATTTGTTGAATTCAGTGGCCACATAGACGGGGTCTGTCACAGTAGTACCATTTTCCAATTTTAATTCTGAGACGGTGGGGACTTCTCTTGTCTTAATTTTCATAATCTCATTGATGGTTTGCCATGTGCGTTTGACGTCTCCTCTGTTGTTGACTATAATATTGTGGTAGTACTGCTGTTTCGATTTCCTCAGCAAGTGTGTTAAAATATTCTTATATTTTTTGAAGTAATGACGCTGCGATGCGTTTCCGTTCAGAAACATTATTCTGAACATGGCGTTTTTGTGTTTGATGGACTTGCGAATTCCCCTGGTTATCCAGGGCTTGGAATACAATTTATTTTCTCTGCGTGACAGAGGGCGTAATGGTGCGTGCTTATTTATCAACCACTTAAAATGGCTAAGAAAGAGGTCAAATGAACTATTAAAATTTTCTTTGGATAATATACCACTGGCATAGTTTCTACACATCATCTCAACTTCCAATCTGAATGTGTCGGCAGAAAAATTTGCCATGTCACTCTTCATGCGTGTTTTTGTTTGGAC